AAGCAACCACAACTACGTCAAAGATATCTAAAAATATATCAGTTGGTTTGGGAACATAATGCCCTAACTCCAATAAAAAGGCACTTTGAAAACAATAAAAAATGTGTTTTAAAATAAATTGCATTTATTCATATAGCAATGAAATAGAAGAACTGCTCTCATAGACGTTGTTATTAAGTCCCGAATAGTTCCACGAAATTTTTATTTAATTGTTAATGTCTACTTCTCCACTCTGGAGTAGAAACTACCGTTTTATTTTAGTCCCATTGTCTCTCTCCCTGGTTCCCCTGCAGCCTGACACTGTCATGGTTTAACCCCAGCTGGCAATTAAGCACCATGCAGCCACTCGCTCACTACCCCCTGCAGTGCGATGGGGAGAGAATAGGGGGGAAAAAAGGTAAAACTCATGGGTTGAGATAAAGACACTTTAATAGGACAGAAAAGGAAGGGAAAACAATGCTAGTAATAATAAAGTACACATAGGAAGTGATGTACAGTACAATTGCTCACCGTCCGCTGACCGATAGCCAGCCAATCCCCAAGCCCCCAAGCCATGGTGCTCCCCCAGCCAGCTCCCCCCCAGTTTATATACTGGGCATCATGTAATATGGTGTGGTATACCTTTTTAGCTCATTTGGGTCAACTGTCCTTTCTGTGTCCCCTCTCAGTTTCTTGTGCACTCCCAGCCTCTGCTGGCAGGGCAGCATGAGAAGCTGGAAAGTCCTTGACTTAGTATAAACACCGCTTAGCAAAAACTAAAACATCAGCATGTTATCAACATTGTTCTCATCCTAAATCCAAAACACAGCACTATACCAGCTACTAAGCAGAAAATTAACTTTATTCCAGCTGAAACCAGGATACACTTCTATCATGTCCTGTCTTCCTTGTTCCTTCTCCGATGTTTTTCCATCCTGTATTGTCTGTCCAAGCTGCCTTGTGCAGTCTTATTTTCAATTCAATTGCCCTCACTTTACTCTCATTCCTGCCCTTCTGAAAATCCTGCTGCTTGGACTTGCTCTCTGCAAACTCTTCCTTTCACTTAGTCTTCCTTCTTCCCACATTCCCTTCTCCTGTCTAAATTATAAATCCTCCTTTTTTTGCAACCTCCAAACTGGCCTTCTGCATTTCTGTCTCTCTCATGAACTCTTGCTTTTATCTTCAGATGTTTCTACTTCTGTGGAACCCCCCTCGTCCACCTCCATCTTGTATGCATCTGTCTTCTTTGCACTACCACCTTACAGGGGAGAAACTGGGGACACTTTTTTGCTGTCATTTTAGTATTTTACGGAAATTTACTCCAGTATTTTCCACCTATTTTTTGTGTAGTCATCAGCCTCAGGTGTGAGAAATCAGTGTATGGCTTCAGTCCTGATGAAGGCATCAGTGTGACAGCTCTGAATGAAATCTCCTCATCATTTTTTCCTGCTTCTGCCCACATAGTCGTGTCGTCATCGCTGTTGCAATAGAGCCAGGGGCAACAGCTTTGATTTGTGATTCATTTTGTGCCAACTATATGGCCCCCTGCAGCAGGCAAAAGCTGGCTGATGGTGAGACTACCAAGAAAAAATTGCCCATGAAGCAAAGTTTGACAATCTTAATTCAGCTTTGTGTCATGGTTTAACCTAGCAGGCAGCTAAACACCACACAGCTGTTCGCTCATTCCCCCCACCCCACAGTGGGATGGGGGAGAGAATCAGAAAAAAAAGTAAAATTTGTGGGTTGAGATAAAGACAGTTTAATAGGACAGAAAAGGAAGGGAAAATAATAATAATAATAATAACAACAACAATAAACCAAGTGATGAGCAATGCAATTCCTCACCACCCGCCGACCAATGCCCAGCCACTTCCTGAGCTGTGGCCCCCTGCCAGCTTTCCCCCTAGTTTATACACTGAGCATGACCTCATATGGCATGGAATATCCCTCTGGCCAGTTTGGGTCAGCTGTCCTGGCTGTGCCCCCTCCCAGCTTCTTGTGCTCCCCCAGCCTACTCGCTGGTGGTGTGAGAAGCTGGAGAGTCCTTGACTTAGTGTAAACACTGCTTAGCAACAACTAAAGCATCAGTATTACCAACATTATTCTCATCCTAAATCCCAAACACAGCACTATACCAGCTACTAGGAAGAAAATTAACTCTATCCCAGCTGAAACCAGGACACTTTGCTAGAGTACTGGTAAAATGTGAAGGTGCTGCGTCACTAATTCTTTAATAGTTTGCATGCAGGTAGATGTTGGTACCAGACAGTTAACTCCTGAGCTGGACACAGATGAAAACCTAGTTTTGACGTGTCTCTTCCACCCTTCCTTCAAACCTGAAAGAAGTATTAGAAAACCTGACCATCAGCACTTTGGTACATTGTTAGGTGAAACAAAGAGTTGTTACAGATAGGTACAAAGTATCTGCAAATCACTGCAGCAATGCTAATTTCATTCATATATGTATAGCTAATTAAGAATGTGCTTCCCAGTGTGATGGTGATTTCAGTTCCTGTACACTGCACGTTTTAAGTCATGTCATTTGAGGACATTCCAGGAGTGGACTTTCCAGTGGCTGATTTCAAGAGCAGATGTCACTGTAAAAGTTGTTTACTTAGCAGCAGCCTTTTTTGGTTACATCCATCCAGTCAGGCTGCAAATATGAAAACAGGAAGCATTCCCCTGTTTGTAGAAGTCTGCCTGCAGTAATAAATACAAGCATGTATATTTTGAAACAAGTATTTTTAGAAACTTCTGTTGAGGGCTGTACTGCTGTTTGGACTTTCTGCCCTTTCAGATTTTGTTGCTTAGCCTATACATTTTTAATAATCACATTGCCTGCTAGCAGTGATGTTTTGTGAAGGTCATTTTTCTTGTGAAGTTGGAGAATGGACTTGAATTTCATTGAAGGACTCCCTGAGCTGCAGGATCATTGTTTATGGAACTCTCTTGCATCTTGTACTACCTTTGAAGCCTGTTTAGAATTTTAACTAATGATATCTTCAAAGTGTCACTGTGCTCAAGGGCAAAAAAAGAAATCTCAAAATGCACTTTATATTTAAAACCAGTTTTGAATAGCTTTGAAGCATGGTATTAGCTAAAAATAAAAGGCATAGATATAGACTTACTATGTGTGCACACACAGAATTCCATATTTCACCGACTTTTTCATTGTCAGCAAAGTGTCCCTTCACCATTGCAATGCCTTTTTCTTCTATACTCTAAAAATCATCAGGTCTATGGATAGTCTTAGGAATTTTTAATGTCATTGATAATTTAATACCTCAGCAGGTATCTTTAGGCAATCTTCCCCAGTGGAGAGGTTTTAGTTTTGTCTATATCATTCCTAGCCTCCTGCTTCTCATTTCCCCTGTGTAGAAATGCAGACACTGGGTTGTATTTCTATGCCTTTTCTGTTTCTGAGTAGAAGATGGCAGATGCTAAAACCAACATGCTATGCTTGAAATATGCTTGAGTCTGTGGTGTCAGCTGCTGAATTAAAATTGCTTGGTTTTGTATAAACCAAAGTTCCTGCTTCCCACAAATGAGCATGTATCAAGTTTGCTCATTAATAAAACATCTGGAGGCTTACTTGGTAGCTGTGTCTGATGTCTTCTGATACTGACATATTCTTTTAAAACATGTTAAATGTTAGTGGCAATGTTTGAGAATATGGCCACTTAAATATCTATACTGTTCAGGGATATTTTTTTCTGTTTTATTTATTGCTTTCTGTAAGTGTTTTAGCTGTAGAGCTAGCATAGGACTCCTGGATCCTTCTCGTAGGGATGCCATTGGGTTAATTCTGTCATTTTCCTTCTCTATGACTTTGTTTTTCTATTTGTAAACTAGGAGCTTACAAAAGTACAAGTATGTGATTTATAATTTAATCCTTCCCACAAAATAATTTGTCTGGTTTTCTTCCATTTTATTCTTTTGCTATATCAAACTGCCAAGAAAACTTAGCTTATTCAGAGTGACCTTGTATTTAAGATGTGCTTTTCTATTTCTGTTTTGATAGCTGTATCGTCAAAGCGTTGTAGTTTGGCTGGATGTTTTACAATGGATTTCACAGTTTTATGGGCATTGCTAACATTTTAGTTGTGCCAAATAACTTAGAATCTTGTTTCAGAACATGAAACAAGATGATCCACTGAACAGCAACTACTGTGAGGGTAATGAAGAGAGGGTAGGACTGTAACCTGCCTTTGAAGTGTTAACATCCTAACTAAAGTTAGAGGTTGGGAGGCTGGACAGATTGTGCATTTGAGAAAATTTGCGTTAGGAAGTAAGGACAGAATGTTGTGCACATCCCAGAAAAATAATTTTCCATCTGATTCCCTATGTGGAAAGAGGACTAAAAATACAAGAATTTTCAGACTCTGCTTCCAGGCTTCTCGATGCCCACTGCATATGGACCGCTTGTGAATAAAAGCCACCAGCCTGTTTGGAACCGCTGTTTTGCTGACATGATCAAAAGGGAAGGCCTCAGCCTCTGGCCATTATCATTACCATTTTACTATTTTCCTGCCTGCCTGCTACATGGGCTTCCCTTTGCAAGTTTTTTTTTCTGTCTTCTGCGCAGACCGATTCACCCTTCTCATGCCTGGGAAAAGCTCAACAGGAAAACGCACATGAGATTGATGAGGAAGAGAAGGCAGTTACATTTGGTCTTTTCTTTGCTTATTCCCAAACACTCTTTCCTTTCTCTTAGAGGGAGTTGTTGTTATATATGTGGTGTTGGTTAACATTTCCTATATATATAGGGTCCTGACTTTTAACATTTTCTATAAGAATCTTTACAGTACAGCTAACAGTGCTTCTTCCCAACCCCTTGTCTTTCCCTGTTTTACATAACCAAGAGAAACTTCTTTAATGTATTTCAGTACTGAGAATTTAGCAACGACGTCTCTTGGCAGAAACAAAAAAAGGAGATATTCTTACCCAAATTTTAGCTGGTTTCATATTTTTCTTGTCGTTGTACTTCTTCACTCACTTTGCTATTTAATCTTTGATTGCAGGCCACTAAAGAAGTAATAGAGCGAGAAGCCCCAGGGATGGCCCTGGCAATGCTGATGGGATCACTTAATGTTACTCCTCTAGGCATGCTCTCTAGGTAAGACTATCTCCTTTAAAATATGAGGTGAACTATTTCCTTAGAAATAAATGTTGTCATGAAATGACTACACACAAATAAGTGAAGATTGCCATTGTTATCAAGACTAGAAGACTTAACTTCAGAGAAGTGGCCAAATTCCAAGAATGGTAATTGCATTCTCTCATTTAATTCCCTTTGTTGTCTCCATTAGACACTGTATCCTCCTGTATTTTCTGTGCCAGGTTTTTTGTAATATTGATGCATGCTTTTAAACAGCTGTCTTTTCATCCTAAGGCTGTGGCATTTCGGTGGTGAGTGAAGAATTCTTCTATATGTTGTTCATCAAGTACTAAAATGCTTTGTTTAGCAAAAAACCTTTCGATAAATACAAATGTATTGTTTTGATATTGCTTTTATTCCAGTATCAGCAACTGCTCTCTGAATAAGTTAAATGGTATTTTATCCCATGCTTTCAGATATAGTACTTTAACTCCTAGAGTTTGGTATTTCCTACTAAATAATTAGTAACTGTTTCTCTGCCTGTTGTTGTTTCTTTTTTGTCAGTGACATCTCTTGTTATCCTGTATTTCTTCCTGGAGTTTATTTTTTATTTTATTCCTTCAATTTACCTCATTTTACCTATTATAGACTTAGTAATATCAATACCTTTCAGGAGTTAGTTTGTGCTTGCACCTTATTTTAAGGAAACTAAGAAACAACGGCTATTACAGTTTTTTGATTTCTCATTGTATAATGAGGGTATGACAAGAAAATAATTATATAAGAAATAAAGAAGGAACTTTGAAATCTGCAACTTTGTATTCAGATGCTTGCATTTTTAAAGCACGTTTAGATGACAGGTTTAGTGGTTTGACAAGGTATTTTAAAACTTTTCATATCATGTGTCACATATCTGAAAGGGCAACATTACCAAGTTAACACCTTCAGGTTCTGTCCAAATTAGCAAGTATTTTCATTTTTTTTATCTGATATAATTTTTATATCATAGCTTGTGTTTATCTGAAGGGAAAGGATAATAGAATGCTACCACAAGGAGAGGAAAGGTTAATTTAGCTGTTCTCTTTCTGATCAAGAAAAGGATAGCCATTTAGATGACACTACCAAGTTTGATTTAGGATGCGGTGTGATCAGAATGGCTGAAAGGATGTTGGAATGGTAGTGGAACCAAAATGCTGGATTGTAACCTGACTCTTCTGTACATATAGCAAGAAAATCTCCGTTAAACTACAGCCACTTTCAGTAGTAATTGATGACTATGGTGGGAGATAACATTACAAAGATACTGCATGCAGTCATACTAGGCCTTAAAAAATTGCTCAGTGAAAACCTCTACTTCAGACCTAAAAGCAATCAGCATGCAAAAGGCCATTTTTTTATAACACTGTTCATATCATAAAGTTAAGGACACAGAAATTACAAAACTACAGCATTATGGTGCAATCTCAGTTCTGCATGAATGCACATGTGTGTTATGACTACATTTTTTTGTAGAATTCCTCTGCAAGTGCTTAAGATGGAGGGAGGAAATTTACTTTTCTTTGTTTTGATTGTCCTGTGTGTAATCCTGTATCAGTTTTGGTGCTCTATATTCAGAATCTTCTCTGAATACAAACTCACTTCCTCTGGGATTTTTCTTACATCATTTGTTATCCTAAGACACAAATTGTTAATATATTTTCATAGAAAATTCTGCAAATTGAGATAGTGTTGTAATCCCCCCTTAAAATGAGAACTAAGGGACACATTAAGAGAGGTCAAAAACATACACTAATTTTAGGTACACAGTTTGAGAAATACAGATCCTAATTTTTCAAAGTATTTAACATTTAATGTCACTTGTCCTAAGCGTACCTCTCATTGACTTCATTTTGAAATGAAGTTCTGAGGGATAATTTTGCATGTAATTTCTTTGACTTTTCAAACAAACAAAAGCAGAAGTTTCGTTACGCAACATTAAGCTGACACTTCTATGAATCACCTGCAAGTTTGGAAATGTTAGGTCAGTCGTGTTGAATTTTATCACATGAACTTTTAAAAAATTGTTATAAGTTATAGTCTGTCTTCCTGACTATGGAACAGCATTAGGAAGTTGTGAGTTATTTTGTAGACTGGATTCACAGATATTCATGGCAAATGAGGGACAGTGAGACTCTCATAGTTTGGATTCAGTCCCAAGGTCCAGCAGGGAGTATCTTAGAGCATCATAGACCTTTTTATGTGTTTCCTGAAAGTTTTTCCTTTTCTTCTCTGACCTTCTAAAACTGTCTTTGTCCCCAGAATTATCTCTTCCCTTCATCTGATTCCTTACCTGTCAACTACCCGTGCTGTGCCAGCCTTTATTGAGGCTTTTTAAAGCACTCTCTGTCTCCTTGCCCATCTTTTCTGCTTTTACCAGCATAATTTCTTCCCAGGGAGATGATGTTTTTTTCCCAAAGAGATCATGTTCTCCATTCCTACTTCTACATCAGACCTGTATTTCTTTCCTCCCACATCCATTTTTTTCTTTCTCCCACGTCCTGTTTTTCCTTCCACTCCCTTGTTTCTATTTGTATTCTTTCTCAGACGTCTTTGGTTTTTCTTAAAAATTCTGTCCGCTGCATCACAAGGCTGAGGATAACATAAGCATCTCCCTCAGCTGTTCTACATTTGGAGGAATATCATTAATTTCTCAAATTACCCAGAATGCATGCACATTTTGTGTGCTTTTATGTTGTGAGCACACCCAATATGTTTTTGCAAGCCATGCAGTTCTTGGGTACTTTTACTTACTTTTGCATGCTCTCTTGGGAAATTTTTGGTAGCTCCATTTCTGTCTTGAGCCACTAGATTTGACTATTGGCAGCAAAAACTTGTAGCTTTCAGGATAACGGCTGCTGGTTTAGTCTTTTTTTTTTTTTTGGTTGGTTGTACTGGTCATTTAGCTTATAATGTTTGAAATTATTTAAAGCAGAATAAAAGAGCCAAGAAGAAGATTATGAAAGGAGCTATCTGCCAAACACAATTCCACCTCAATTTAATTCCTGTGTGGATAATTCCTATTTCCTTTATTTTAAATATCATAGACTGTATCCCACTTATGGGATTTGCTGGATTGAGTTTGTACTCTGTAAGTTTGACTACTGCAACAAGAGCAAATGAGCACATTTCTTTAACTTGGGCTCTTCATCTTTGTATTGCAGTAGAGCATTCCTCAACTACCTGGAATTCTTTCTTAACTGAGGGTATATAGTGTACAAGAAGTGAATATGGGAAAACAGATGCTAGGAGTCAGGCAATATTCAAGCTGCCAGTTGAAAATAAGACTTTTTTTCAGGCTGGCTTTACTGTGATATCAAAAGTTCATTTTGTGGCACAAAATCAGTCTCTGTGCTATTTAATTGTGAGCATTATGACAGCTGTCACTAGAATACTTGCTACCGTCCTAGAAAATGCTATGCTACCAATAAATGGCATTAATAACTGAGAATTATTAGTATAAGAAGAAATCCAGGGAAGTTGGTTACCCCACAAACCTTGTCCTTTGGCTCAAAATTTTTGGTAATGCCCTATCAAGAAATTATTTTCTTTTCTATTCTGTCTTCACTTACGGCTCATGTTTTTTTTGATAAAGCAATTGTCACACAATTTCTCTCAACTCTAGTCTCCATATCTTTGTGGCTTGGTTTCATCCTTTTACTTTCTTATTACGCTTATATCCCAGCCATGGGTTTTTCACCACGGGTTTCGTAAACAGTGGAGAAAAGCAGGAGGCACTCTTTACAACCTCAAGACAAAATACAGTAATTTTAATTCTTTTTTCTTGAAAATATTTAGCTAAAATGAGGAAGAGGCAAACTAAAGAATAGAAAACATTCAGCACTTGGGTGTTTAAGTTCAGCCCTGCATCAACACTAAAGGAATTCCCTAAAGACAAAAAAATAAAATAAAATCTTCCATCTTTGATAGTCAGTTTCTTTTTTTTTTTTTTTTTTTTGAGGGGGAAGGCAGGACTGTTAGGAAGAATTAGATATGAGTTGCATAAGTGCCATTTTCCCATGAGATTACTTCCCTCTGTGCTTTTCTTATGTTGCATCTTTGAAAAAAAAGAAGAAATATTTGAATTAATGCGACCAACATGACTTAGTATTTTTACCTGGCAAGGAAAATTGTGTTTGACACCATCAATTACATTACAAAGGAACCATGTGTATGAGCAAATTGGGACTGTATCAAAGAAGTAAACGCAAGTAAACAATAGAATTAAGGGAGCTATGTAGATCTAAAAAAGATGGAAACGTAGCCAGTGTTTATACTATCAATTAAATGTTAGACTCTGTCAGCCTTGTTTGATGCTTTTCCAGCTAAGCTTCTCCTGAGCTGTTTTATGAGATCAGCAAATATTTTTAGATTTTGGAAACTGAGTTTATGAAGTCTGATAAATAATAGAATTTTTCTTAAATGCTCTGTTCTCATTTCTGCAGTGGAGAAAGTTGCATGCAAGAATTACACTCTGGATTTCTTTCTTTTCAGACCTGTGTGTGGAATCAGAGGGAAAACTCTCATAATTAACCTGCCAGGTAGCAAGAAAGGGTCCCAGGTAAGAAGTGTTCTTACTGATCTGCTACTGAGGACCCATGATGAATACCTCCCATTGTTCTGAATGGTAGAAAGTACCCACTACAACAAATTTTATAAAAGGGAATTGAAATGCACATTCATGTAACTGAACGCACCATCACTCTTAGTCAGGGACAATACAATTCTGATCTGATTGAAGGTACTGTGTGACCAGGACAGCATTACATGTAGTGCACGAGAGTGCTCACTGTAGCAGGTAGTGCTAACGAAGAGTCTAAGACACTTCCTCTTTCTTCTCTAGTCAGCCTGTACCTGATCCCTGTGTTCTCTACAGCTTCCAAGAAAGCATCCTTTTTCACACAGAAGAGGAAGGCCTAGTGTATGGTAGAACTTAATGGAATATGAAGAATATTGCCAATTTTGGTCAGCAAGAGGGAAAAAAAGGAACATCATTTTTAAGAGTTCAAGGATTTTTTAAATCTTTTGGATATGGGTATTAGACTTTACACCCTTTATACAGTTTGTTTTCTTCCTGCATTTTGCTCTGTTTGGACAGAGAAGTTAGGCTTTATGTTTTTATTCATGCTTACTTTCTGACTGTAGAGCTGAGAGAAAAACAATTAAACATCAGGAGGAATTTTTTGTGTGTGTGTTAGTAAGGCTGGATCTTTCCGGTGCTCTTTCTTTTTGTGTAGTTGGCTGATAGATCCAGAATAACAGCCTTCTCCACACAAATATTGCTAAGCTGAATAGTGGGCAGTACAACCTGATACAAAACTGCTAAGGTAGATCTCCCATCAATCATGAGAATATATTTCTCTAGGGCTCAGACTATGTCAGTGGCCTTGTTAAAGATGTCTTTACCTCTGGCCTCTAACAAATGCGTACCTGGTGGTTTATCAATGTATTCTGAACCAGTAGTATCCAGTCATGGAGGAGACAGAACTAACGTGTTTGGCAGCACAGCCCTGAAGTCACTGTTTCTTGAAAGATTTCTGTCTGGAGATAAATAAAGAATGCTTATGTGGGCTGTCACCTGGAAGTTGAAGAGGAACTGTTTTGACTATTATTATTTTAAGCAGCATCGCAGCTTTTCAGATACATTGTCTACATGTTTCAGTTCAAGGACTCAGTAAGCCCTCCTATGATTCTACCGTTCCTTAGAACCTTTTTAGGAAATCTAATGAGACTCTGTAATTGAAAAGAAATTAAAAAGCCTTCAAAACATGCAACAAGCATTGCAGGATGGTGGGGCAGGAGTATACCTACTTGGAAGTCTTCCAGTTATGAGTGAGAAGTCGTATATGTGTACATGTATTTAACATAGCAATGTGCCACACATCTTAGAGAACTGGTGCACCAGTAAGAAGATTTTTTCAGAAGTCTGTACTTCTTTTGTTGAATTATGAAAGAGAGGAGATAGCCTTCAATCTCTAATGGTTTTTGTTGCGTTCAGTAGCACTGCTAACATGCTAGGTACAGAAAAAGTTGTCATGTTGTGCCCTGAGGCACTCAAACTGTAAAGATAGGTAAATCATAGAAAGAGGATGAGGAAAAGAAATGAAAAAATGTTAGTAAGTATTTTAACAATAGTTTGATATAAAGTAAGTAATAAAAAAGGTAATTCTGCTGGAAAAGAAAAAGATGTCATATGATTTCATTATACAAGCAAGCTTTTAATTAACATGATTTATTCGTTCCTGTCATGATGATACTCTGAGTATGTTCTGTTGCAATTTATTTTAATATGAAACATCTTTAAAGTATCAAATTTCAGCAAAGATTTTTAAGATGAGTACTAGAGAAAATTGTTCCATAACAGGCTGGATCTCAAGAACCAAATAGGACAGGCTGTTACCAGGAATTTCTCTCATTTCTCTCTATTATGACTTGCTAATTTCCTTTCCATCCTATTAATGCAATCATATAAGAAGTTTATAGAAAATTATGAAATTGCAGCAGTATACGTATTTCATTATTAAAATATTAAAATATTAATAGAAAATGGCAGCAGTGTAAATGCTCCATCTCAAAAATGGACACAATGTATGCCAAACATGTTTCCTCCAGAGAACATTGTGTGGCATGTACCAATGAATCAAGATCTGTGGAATACTTCAATTTTTGTGGTGTTCTGGTCTGTTGTCTTTTCTTTTAGCCTTGCAAAAAGTATTTAATGTTATGAAAAAGGGCAAAGTGTGAAATTACCACATGCTCATTGAAATCATTGGGTCTATGGCAGTTTTCATAATTGTACTAACAATTGCCTAAACCAATGAGTTTTACAAATAACATGAGCTTTTAGAGTACTTACTGGGAACCTATTCATCAACAGTCAAGCCAACAAGGCTTTATTTCAGTGGTAGGAGTGGGGAACGTGCTTCTCTAATGAGTTAATCATTAATGTACTTTTTGATGATTATTGGTCAGTTCACAGATTGTTGTCCTTGTTTACCACTTACTTGAGGTCTGCTTATTTACTGAAGTAATGATGGTTGTATGCTTCGGTATTTTAAACCATTTTAAAAATAATACTGTGGAGGCACAATAACTCTGAGGTTTGCAGTTACATTAGAACTTATAATTCTTTATTATGTTTACATATATATTTTAATATATATTCATTATATACAGCATCTTACGCTCATCCAGTTTACTCTAGTTCTTCAGAGTGCCAAATTGAATGTTTAAAGTATTTATAAATCTATGAAGTAGTCTGACTTTTCATTACTCTTAAAGGAGCAACTGAAAGGTGTGTTCTTTCTTAGAAGCTTTGAGGAAATACAGTGTTTGTGAGTCATGTTTTTGACTTACAAGGTGGCTTGTATAAACTTTACTAATTTCTAATGGATGGGTTGCTCTTTATTTTGTTTTCATAGTCATTTTTTTCATTGAAAATATCTGTATCTACAATATCTATTTACAAAATGTTTATCATTATTTATTTTCTCAATACTCTAAAATGTTGGAACACATTTCTAAAATCTTCCTTCTGGTTCAAACAAAACCAAAAATAAAGTGCAACAAAAGGAATAATTCAGCTTTCTCTGTCAGCTTGTATGTTCCCTAACTGCACTGTCATGGCAATTCATCCTTGTGACCCTGCCATCATTTTCCAGTAATTTAATGTTTATATGGAGTCTGCTCAAATGACATGAAGAAAACTCTTTACTGAGGTGCCTGGGAAGAGGATGGGAGACAATAGTCATAAATTGAAGAAGGTAGCTTCCAGCTGAATAAAAAGAAAAGAAAAAAAAATTACTTTGAGGGTAATTAAGCATTAGAACAGGTTGTCAAGAAGGGTTGTAGAGTCTCTGTTCTTGGATTTTTTCAAGACTTTACTGAACAAAGCCCTGTGCAACCTGTCTGAATTTCATCTTGACCCTGATCTGAGCAGGAGGCTGCAGTGCATGATGTCCTGAGATTCCACTTTGATTTTATGAAATACTAGCATATTTTACCAGCAGACGTAGCTTATATATATATGTATGCCCATTATGGAACAAGAACAGTTACACGGTGTCTGCATTTTTGCTTTCTCCAGCCATATAAAATAAACTTTCTAATTGTTTTTAAGCTCATAGAGCAAGGAGAACAATTTTTTGTGAGTTACATAAAGTTATAATGACATCAGTGTAGTTTGTCATTCTTCCAGTATATAGGATAAGTCCATGAATAAAAAAGGCTATAATTATATAAAAGTATAATTATGGAAACCCTTATGGATTGTTCTCTAATTGTGAAGGAACATAATAGGAATGATTTGAAGCTAATACCCCTGCAGGGATAGAGTTAATGTTTTTATTCTGCATTTTTGTAGCATTCTGCCAACTGCTGTGAGCTGGTTTCTGTATTATGTATTCATGAAAATTTAACTCTTGTTTTCTGAAGTTATAATCCAGCATTAGCTTAATTACAGTAGCTCTGTTGTACAACTTACTATATTTGCATGAAAAAAGGCAAAAATATATAGTATAGTCCGCAGTTCTGGTTCTGAGTTTGTTTTTTTATCCTCTATGAGCAATTGCATAGGGCATTTAAGCTTTTATTTATGATTGGGTGAAAAGACATATCCAAATCCAAAATATAATTTAAGAGTAAGTCTGAAAAATCCCTGTTTACTTCTGCAGGTAACTTTTCATAGTCATTTCTCTTCTTGTTGTGCATAGGAATGCTTTCAGTTTATACTGCCAGCCCTACCTCACGCCATTGATCTTTTGCGGGATGCCATTGTAAAAGTTAAGGAGGTGCACGATGAGCTTGAAGATCTACCTTCACCACCACCTCCTCTTTCTCCTCCTCCAACTACCAGCCCTCACAAGCAGACAGAAGACAAAGGAGTACAGTGTGAGGAAGAGGAGGAAGAGAAGAAGGATAGTGGAGTTGCCTCAACAGAGGACAGTTCTTCTTCACATATAACAGCAGCAGCCATTGCAGCTAAGGTGAGTCTGGCTTGTTTCCCTAAGAGACCCTTTAGCTTCTATCTCAGGTACTTAAAACTAATATTCATCTGCATGTTAAGATTATACATTGATGTCTGCGTGGTCAAACAGATGTATTTTAGGTACTTTTTGTAGAAATCCAGCTTCAGAAAAATGTATGAATCCTGTTTCGGTAGGTGATTTCAAATTTCAGTGGGAGATACATTGTTTATTATCTTGACAATAACATGCATTTTTATGCTACCATTCCCATGTGACACACTATTTTTAGTGGTTTTTTTTTAATTCAAAGTACTCACACGCCTGAACATGCAAAGTCCAGTAGGTGGCATATTAAGGAATTGCAACAGAATTTTCTAAGCCATAATATTTATTTTGAAAAGAAAATGTTGGTTTCTAAAAACATTGATAAAAAGTATGACAGATAGGTAGCAGGTTAAGTAATAAGCTATACAGACTACTGTATTCCAGTGTACATGTCTGCATAAGAGGTGTGAAATTCTGCCACAAAACTAAATATCATCACATTGTCTTTAGACCCTTGTTTTAACCAGTATTCATAGATCAACATTACTCAAACCAAAATAATAAATTTGAGACTACAAAAGGAAAAAATTAGATAACACTTGCAAATTACTTCAGTTCAAGTTTTAAATGTTTTCCAAAGAAATATATTATTTGAAGCAGTATATGAATATTTACCTCAGTTTTATGCCTTCAGTTTCAAATGGAAAGACAATGTATTCCTATGTGTTTGGACAGGTTTTTTTCCAAACTACTTTGTTCTATATTTACTCTACAAATTGTGCTTTTAATTCCTATTACAAGAATTGAAAGTCTAAGTAACTCAAAATTATATTAAAAATTTCTAAACCAAAGCAGCCACATTCTAACTCCAGAAATGTGAATTCAGGTCTGAGACATCTTGACATTTCTAAGACAGCTGCAGCTGGAGATCATCTCCTCATGTACAGAAAATCCTGATTACATATATCTTTACAGGGATGAATTAAGGTAATTATCACTTGCAAGTTTCAGTTTTTATTAATGCAAATTTTAAATTTATTAATTTTTTTATATAGGCAAAGATGAATTATATGTGATTTTTAAAGGCAGAAAATACCTGAGATCTAAACTGGCTGTGTTCATATGAGCTTGGCATTCCAGTGTCACACTTGTTTTCACCTCATTCCCTTTCGGTCATTTGCTTGTATAGTTTCATGTTTTCCTGTCACTGTATTCATAGCTGTTATGTGTTGTGCATTAGAAGCATCCATCCTACACCAGTTCAGCTGTTATCATGGCAAAAGGTGAACAGCCCATCCCTGGTCTCATCAGTTATTGCCATCATGCAGCAGGCAGTGCAGGAGAACCGGTAAGAGACACTTACAAGAGGCTTTTCCACTAACAGTAGCTAAAAATAAACTGCCTGCCTCCTAGTCTACTGTGTGAACAGACAATGTTACTTATTTTCCTCTAACAAAGACACATCAGTGCTATCTTTTAGAGAACATGCTACAGAAAATATTCTGTTTAAGATACAGGCCTAAACAAGGTAAAGTTCATGTGCGTTGTCAGTTTGAATCATTTGGCTGCTGAGATAATCAGTACTATAAAGTCTGTGTTTCTGATTAGTCATTGGCTTTATCATCTAATATACTCCATAATTGAATATAATTAAAATAATCTCCTAAAAAAACTGCTATAGAGCTATGAAATTTTGGTAACTTCTTCCCCTTTGTTTGCCTTGCTTTGCTTTTTTTTCTCTCAATACTTTGTTTGTCAACATAATACAGCATTTGCACTGGGCGTTCATAGTTTGCTTCCATCACTTGCAGTTTCTCCCTTATTTTTATATTCTGTTTAGAAGTAGAATTTCTCAAAAACAGAAGAAAAGACTTGAGCAGTCAGGATACGGTGGACTTACTGTAAATTACTGGATTTTAGTGCATAGTAGGCAACTATTTCAATGAATGGTAGAAAGGACTTGTTTTATTATAACCCAGAGATTAGAACTCGGGCTCTATCAAAATACTTTATTTTCTGTCTCCCAAAGATTTAGTCTAGGCTTGAATCAAGATAGAATTATGGCTACAATATCATCAGGAATGAAATGTAATTTACGGTATTTGTAGCTGTAGATTAGAGAAACCCAAGGAAGGCAGTTGGCCTAGAGAGAGGGTTGTCTGACCCATTCATTCAGTGTCAACCAGCAAATGGGGTGTAAGTTCTTGGGAAAATATGTCACTAGATTTGATTACCGGAGGCTGCACTTTCTTGTTCTCTTAGACAAATAGTAAATTAAACCATCAGTGAAACGGTGTAACACCTCTGTATTTAAAACATGATGACCATGTCTCTTGAAAAGTCACTTAGGAAGTGTGAAGGCTTTAAAGTTCATGCACCTGATGATAAAGCTATATATGTGTACATACGTAAATTTTCTTTTTTCTGAGTTGAGGTTACTAAACTAGAATTTGCACTATATTCTTCAGTATCAGTAGAACAGTGAATTCAGCCTCTCTGAAGCACACTCTTAAGCTGTCATCCAGGCTTCTGTGCCCTTTTGCAAATTACTCTTGAGCTATTGTTTTATGCATTCTATAATCCAAATCAAGTCTTCAAACTCAGAGGAGAAAGTGGCTAGTTTTTCAGAAGATTGTTGGGTTTTTTAAGCTATCCTTTCTCTATGTTCTTAAGACATTTTTGCTCTTGTATAACGATCATAGTAATTGCCATCTGCAGCTTGTCTTCTTAGTACCTCACCAGCACTGTCAATCTTCATTCCAGTCCTAGCCAAAAGTGAATAAAGAGATCATATCTTTAACTTTGTCCCCTTCTTGTCAACACTTAGTTCTCTAATCTGAAAACACAAATACTTAATCCAATATAAAAGTACTTCTGGAAAAGATCATATCAGATAAAAATTGTAGAAGCAATGACTGATGGATATGGTAGATATCTTTCTCTGTCACTTCATTTCTCATTCATTTCCTTCTCTGTCAGTATGTTACAACAGGTTTTCCACTCCAGCTAGCGCAAACAGAAACTATTTTCACTGAACGTAGAGTTTTATTGTACCCCATTTAGAGTTTTGAAATCCACCAAATATGTTTGAAACCAGAAAATGAGTTAAAAAATTTTAGGGGGAGAAATCATAAATACTCAGTGTGACTTTGTGAAAGTTGTTTTTTTTTTTTAAATCTATCCATACTGCAATAATATTCCTGCCTTTCTTTATTGCAGATTTCCAGGCTCCAGGAAACACAGAAATTTCTCATGGGTTTATCAACCTCTTTAACAGGCTTAACAAGAAGTTGCCTTGATTAGAGACTTAGATTGCCTAAATTTAATTTCAAAAGAAAAAAAAATTATTAAATGTAGGTGAGAGAAATGAGACATTCCCCATATCACATAACATATGCAGAGAAATACCATTCGTATTCTATTGTGCCTTTCACTTAATGGACACTATATATCCGTTATATTTTACATACGTTTATGTTTATGCAGTATACATATTAGTACCTTCACTAAAATCAGCAGGTTGCAGTGGTTTAAAGACAATATTAATGCTAGTTTTAGCAATACAACACACTCACAGTCGGATTAGAGAAATAAAACTCTTGAGAACAAAATTTGTAATTGTGAACTAACTTAATTTTCTCAGTGAGATTTTGTTTCTGCAAAAGCTAGCACGCTGGAACTTAAGAGTTCTAGATAGGTTTATATACAGGTGGTTTACGGCAATTGTATTTTCTGTAAAGGTAGTGATTAGGGAATTCTGCGACTTGGGCAAATCCCAGTCTAATCCCAGGCTGCTCGGATAATTTCTCTGTATTCTTCCCAGGCTACCTGCCCTTGCTTCCATCCTCTGTAGGCTTCATTTTGTGTTTGAGTTTGTCCAGGAGCTCCTTGTTCATCCACACAGGCCCCCTGGCATTTTTGCCTGACTTCCTCTTTGTTGGGATGCATCGCTCCTGAGCTTGGAGGAGGTGACCCTTGAATATTAACCAGCTTTCTTGGGCCCCTCGTCCCTCCAGGGCTGTATCCCATGGTACTCTACCAAGCAGATTCCTGAAGAGGCCAAAGTCTGCTCTCCTGAAGCACAGGGTAGCAAGCTTGCTGTGCGCCCTCCTCACTACCCTAAGGATCTTGGATTCCACCATTTCATGGTCACTGCAGCCAAGGCTGCCCTCGAGCTTCACATTCCCCAACAGCCTCTCCTGTTGGTGAGAACAAAGTCCAGCATAGCACCTCTCCTCATTGGCTCCTCCATCACTTGGAGAAGGAAGTTGTCATCAACGCATTCCAGGAACCTCCTGGATTGTTTATGCCCTGTCATGTGGTCCCTCCAACAGGTATCGGGGTGGTTGAAGTCCCCCATGAGGACCAGGGCTGCTCCTATCTGTCTATAGAGGGCCTCATCCTCTCGGTCTTGCTGGTTGGGTGGCCTGTAGTAGACCCCCACCACAATACCACCTGTCCGTGCCCTCCCTTTAATCCTGACCCGTAGGCTCTCGGTCCGCTCCTCATCCATCCCCAGGCAGAGCTCCATGCACTCCAGCTGGTCATTGACATAGAGGGCAACACCCCTTCCGTGTCCCCTGCCTGTCCTTCCTAAAGAGCCTGTATCCTTCCATTCCAACACTCCAGTCATAGGACATAACCATATAATGTAATATCTGGTTACTCTGGAATAACCAGAGTAAACCCAGCGAGAACTGGATCATGATATCATTTGCAAAAGCAATATTGTATTTGTACTGTGGGATCTTGGAGTATATAAAAGAGGTAATGGACCCATACACAATCATCTCAAGATGCGTGCAGCTTTTTATGAGAGGAGAGTATAGAAAAGGTGTCTTATTTAAAGACTCAAAACTATTATTTCTTTTATTGTGTTTTTTTTTATTTTATGCCTTTATCAAAATGTAATTTTTTGCTGTATTGTCTTTAGTCATGGAGTCTAAAAGGAAGCATTAAAAGTTGTAGGTAGTATTTGAGCTACGCCAATATAAAACTTAGGGATGTCAGCCTTTTTTTGCGTTTAATATATTTAAGATTGAATTTCAGGAGAAGAAGAGAACAGAAAGGAAATGGTGCTTCTCACTACAAACTGTTCGTATGATCACAATATCATTGTCCCTGTTTACCTCTATGGTACATCTCTAAGATGCCATTTGCAAGTCAGAATACTCCAAGTAGAGGCCCTATTACTCCAGAATACTCCAAGTTAGGCACTATTTCTGGAGAGGAAGATATCCCCAGCATAATCATCCATAGTGAACAGAATCTCTGCTGACTTCATAATTTATAGTGGAAATTGCAGCGCAAGTTACTTAGCCTTGAAAGATCCTCTCAGGAAAGTTGGGGTTTTTTAAATGCTGACAGAAATTGCCTGGCAAAAAATACTGTCAGTTTAGAAACACAGCAGTAGAGCAGAAAGCAGGCAGTTGGCGGCACACTGAGAACAAGATGTGTTTCCACACAACTTATAAACAGGTTATAAATATGAGAAACTCTCAACTTGTGGAGGAGGGTTTATGGTAAAATAAGATCCCCTAGGTATAACCCAGTATCTCCCAAGACAGGGTTGCTAAGTTAAGACATAGTCATTATTTATAGAGAGGAACCAAGGAAATTGAGGGGAAAAAAAAGACATAAAAAAGCAGTATTTAATTTCTTGAGTCTTAAGATTGGTCATTTTAGCTGCACAGAGACAAGCAACAAAGCTGTCTTAATATCCTAACACTGGTCCTAAGGATGCAACAGATTTTAAAAGCTAAGACTGAAGCTTGTTCCTGGAAGGAGGTACTTTCCAGTGGCTTCTATTTGCCCTAAAGCCTTACTAGGCACGAATGCTCAAAATGCCCAGATGCAGACTGGGTACAGCATCTCCATTTAAAAAAAAAATCCTGGCTGGAAATGTCCAGTGTTAGTGATTTGATTTGTCACTGGTTCTTCATTTCTTGCTACTGCCATTGCTACTTCGTTGTCTGCTACTGCCATTTCCCCCAAACATGGGGATTCTTTTGGTAATTCTCTTGGAACTTAAACATCAGGCTGAGCTAAGAAATTCTTAATGAGGAGAAAGATATTAAAATATGTGTGTATATATATTACTTCAAAGATCTGAATTTCTACATTTTCTGGTCTGTTGTGACAGAAAAGAGAATTGCAGGAAGTAAGAGCAAGCTGATTTTGTAGAAGTGCTGCCTCTGACAAAGGAAGAGGTTAAAATCGTGAAAAAAAAATCAGAATAAGCCTTTATAGAGAATGTGTTATAGCAGAATATCTGCTGCCTTTTCTGTTGTAGAACTAATGTTAGAGATCAGTTCTCCTGTCGGAGCTATTTATCATTCGTAAGTCTTACCATTTTACACAAAAAATAAAAAATTAATCATTATGTTAAACTAGCAATCTAGTCAATTATAAAGCTGGTGTGATATCTGGGCCTAAATACTGCAGTAATAAGAAGCAACAGACTTTCTAAGACTTGGTGTATTAAAGCTAAGAAAAGCTTTATTCTTAAATGCATTCTTCTACCTCTTTTCTTTGGAACTGGTGATAAAAATGAACAGAAGATACTGAAGATAAAAATTAATGATAGATTCACTTTTATAACTGAAAATAAGACCACTTTCTCACTGTTGTAAGTTGGTGTAATTCCATTTATTTAAGTGGCTTAATAATACCAGCTAAAGGATCTGTCCCTAAAATTCCAGCTTAGAATTAGAATCATAGGATCACAGAAAAGAATCATAGAACAGTTTGGGTTGGAAGGGACCTTTAAAGGCCATTTTGTCCAACCCCCCTGCAATGAGCAGGGACATCTTCAACTAGATCAGGTTGCTCAGAGCCTTGTCCAACATGACCTTGAATGTTTCCAGGGATGGGGCATCTACCACCTCTCTGGGCAACCTGTTCCAGTGCCTCACCACCTTCCTCAGAAAAAATTTCTTCTATCTAGTCGGCATCTACCCTCTTTTAGTTTAAAACCACTGTCCTATCGCTACAGGCCCTGCTATAAAAGTCTGTCCCCATCTTTCTTATAAGCCCCCCTTAAGTACTGAAAGGCTGCAAGAAGGTCTTCCCAGAGCCTTCTCTTCTCCAGGCTAAGCAAACCCAACTTTCTCAGCCTTTCCTCATAGGAGAGGTGTTCTATCCCTCTGATCATTTTTGTGGCCCTCCTCTGGACCTGCTCCAACAGGTCCATGTCTTTCCCGTGCTGAGGACCCCAGAGCTGGATGCAGTACTCCAGGTGGGGTCTCATCAGAATGGAGTAGAGTGGCAGAATCACTTCCCTTGACCGGCTGGCCACGCTTCTTTTGATGCAGCCCAGAATACAGTTGGCTTTCTGGGCTGCGAGCGCATATTGCTTGCTCATGTCCAGCTTTTTTTCCACCAGTACCCCCAAGTCCTTCTTGGCAGGGCTGCTCTCAAGCCCTTCATCCCCCAGCCTATACTGATACCAGGGGTTGCCCCAACCCATGTGCAGGACCTTGCGCTTGGCCTTGTTGAACCTCATGAGTTTCACATGGACCCACTTCTCAAGCTTGTCCAGGTCCCTCTGGATGGCATCCCATCCCTCAGGCATGCCAACCACACCATACTGAGGGTGCACTCAATCCCACTGTCTACATCACTGAAGAAGATAATTAAACAGTACTGATCCCAATACAGACCTCTGAGGGACACCACTCATCACCAGTCTCCGTCTGGACATTGAGCTGTTGACCACTACCCTTGGATGCGACCATCCAACCAATTCTTCATCCACCAAACAGTCTATCCAGCAAATCCATCTCTCCAATTTAGAGAGAAGGATGTTGTAGGGGACCATGTCAAAAGCCTTACAGAAGTCCAGATAGATGAACATCCATAGCTCTTCCCTTGTCCACTGATGTAGTCACTCCATCATAGAAGGCCACTAGGTTGGTCAGGCAGGACTTGCCCCGGTGAAGCCATGCTGGCTGTTCCAAATCACCTCCCTGTCCTCCATGTGCCTTAGCATAGCTTCTAGGAGGATCTGTTCCATGATCTTCCCAGGCACAGAGGTGAGGCTGACAGGTCAGTAGTTCCCAGGGTCCTCCTTTCTACCCTTTTTAAAAATGGGTGCAATGTTTCCCTTCTTCCAGTCACCAGGGACTTCACCTGACTGCCATGACTTTTTCAAATATCATGGAGAGTGGCTTGGCAACTACGTCAGCCCATTTCCTCAGGACTCTGGGTTGCATCTCATCAGGTCCCATAGACTTATGTACATTTAGGTTCCTCAGGTGGTCACAAACCTGATCTTCTCTCACAGTGGGAGGGACTTTGCTCCCCGGGTCCCTGCCTTGAGGTCCATCCACTCGAGAGGTGTGGGAAGAGAGGTTGCCAGTGAAGACTGAGACAAAAAAGTTGTTGAGTACCTCAACCACCTCCTCATCCATTGTTAGCAGTTTGCCAGTTGTGTTCATCAGGGTGGATATGCTTTCCTAGCTGGCCTTCTAATACATTATGTGGGAAAAAAAAGACTGACTTTTTATTTTTCCCTTCAGAATGCGTTTTAAAGCAAGTGTTGGCTTTGGGTGGTGGTTTCTAGTGCTTTTGCCTGTACTCCCTCCAGAGAAGCCTGTAGCTTTTACAGCACAAACCTTACATCAAGAATTTTTGTGGCTGAAATAAAGTCTTCAGTACCCAGAATGAAGAGTATTTACTCACTGCATGACATTTCTTATGAAAAATTTTCTCACTGCATGACATTTCTTCAGAGGGGTTCAGTCATTGCTAATAAATGGTTTTCTGATCAGAATGTTGTCCCCTAGTTAGAGAATGGGAAGTCTGCCTCCCTTCATGCCACAGTAGAAATCATTGTTGGTCATTGTTGGGTTTGAAACAGAGGCTTAAGAGGAAAAACATTACTTTCCTATTATTTCCTGTTGTAGTATGTCTGATTCCTAGGTCTTTCAGGACAAATAGTATGTTCTATACTACTTTAGTTAGAATATGAACTTACATATTTGCTAAGTATTTATCACTGAAATTATGAGAACATGCCATTATCCACAGCACTGAGTATGAGGAGGTAGGCAAACTGAGGAGTGGGGTATTCCCATGTTTTTGATGTACGGTTTTGAGTAAGTTTTAAATACAGTATATTTTTTACTACTAATTCCATCTCTCTTCTTTTTAAGATTCCAGATTCCATCATCTCTCGTGGTGTTCAGGTGCTCCCACGTGATACAGCCTCCCTCAGTACTACTCCTTCAGAATCTCCTCGTGCCCAGGCCACCTCTCGTCTCTCCACTGCATCCTGCCCGACACCAAAAGTAAGTACGTTCAGGCTCCATGCTCAGACATATAATCTATCAGATTAATGTATTGCCTCTGCTGAACACGGTTGGTTCGCATGCAAGGGTTGTATGATTCTAAGTAATAGATAAATTCAAGACAGTATAGTTCATTCCATGTGTACTGTTGCACAATTTAATATGTGGGTTGACCAACACATATAGGGTTACTGAAGTTTCATGTTATCTCTTGCAATATCAATCATGTATATGAAATTGTTAACACCTTGAATGTCTTTAATATCCCCAGGAACATAGATAATCCTGCCACTGAGTAACAACATTAAGCAAGTAGTATTTTGTTGACAAAATGTATGTGCAAATTTCTAGCCTGGGCTGGGGCAGTTCTGTGCCCCACTTTATTGTTGTTCAGTTTAAGACACTTTCAAACCAACTGGGTTTGCTCAAACTTAGATATTTGCTGCCTGACATTTGGAAACAAAAACCAGCCTAAATTGAATAGAAAGAAAGTTTTAATGCCAACCTTGTGGGATTATTATTCAGTTCTTACTGACTACGCTGTACTATTTAATCATTGAGGTGAACTCTACTATGTTCTCTTATTATCAAACTTTAAATAGCATACATCAAAAACCAAGTGAATTGACCAGTGGCAAGGCCTATAAAGTTTACCTTCGGCGCGATTCCTTTCAGCAGAAGCAAACTCTGCCTGAATTCACTTTGTGCGTTCACATCACAAAGATCTTTCTGTGGCACCAGATGCTGACATACTAATAGACCCGTGGCAGATGGCAAACAGTAACATTCTTCCTCATCTAATTCATGATCCTTGAAGATTATTCTGCTTGCTACAGTGATTGCCAGCATCTGCTAGTTCTTCTTTCCTGCTGTCTCGTTCTTTTCTGTCAGCAAACAAGATTTATTTGCAGCCACCCATAGAAATGTTTTGGTTCAGCCTCTGGGATTGTTTTATGCAGCATTCACCTTCACTGTAGTAGAATCAAAATTATTCTGATGGACAGCATCAGAACTTGAACTTCCTTATATAGTCTGCTTTTCTTAAGAAGATGTTCAGTGAATTCTGTCTGCAAGCAGCTCCTTCATTTTTTTGTTAAAAAATTGTCACTTGTCTGATGGCTTAAAAATAAAAACTCAAAGCTTATTACATTACAACACTCAGAGCAGAAGACCAATATGAAACAGAGAAACTGCACTGAGTTTTATGCCTGTTGACAAGACAAGTGTCCAGAGAAAAACAAAGGAGACTAGTAACAGGCACAAAAAAAAGACAGCACTGCTAAGACATAGCTCTAGATGAAGCCTATATATTTTCAGAAAGGTTATCACAATGGGAAGGAGTAAAGCTTATCTGTTGTGAAGCAAAATGCACTCCTATAGACTATCTTCAAAGATTCAGAGATTACAGAAGGAGACTACAAGAACTTTGAAGCAGACTAAAAATCTGAAACTCTTTTTTTGGGAAATTAGTTGAGATGAGCTCTTATCATAATTGGATCATGCTTTGGTATTTCATGTTAAGCCCTGTTTTTCATGTATTACTGCAAAATCAGATTTTGTTCAAAATGTGTGGGACGATACCACTTTATAACAGCTATTGCCATGCAACATCTAGCTAGTCTAGCTTTTCTGTGATGTCTTTCGAAAGTGAGTGGGACAAGCTGTTATGGGGAAAGATCTAGGAAAGCCCAACTGGAAAATAAACTCGAAGGGTGATCTCATCTGTTCCTATTACCTGGAGGTTGGATTTTGCACAAAAGTATAAACTTCTTTGCCACTTGGAGAGCTCTTGGTTCATTTTTCTTACTACTTTAAAAAACCCGAACAAACTACTCGTTATCTTTTGGTTCAGTCCTTTTCAGTACCCTCAAGTTCTCAAACATCATCTGAATTTGTCAAGAAATATGGTTCATTCATATTCTTCAAAACTGTCAATATGTCTCAATGTCTTCATTTACTGTGTTTTTCCTTCTGGATCCTGGCTTTCTAATAATGCAGTATGAATTAAATTTACACTGGACCTCTTGATCCACACAGTAGTGAGAATAAAGAGAAATTGTACTTCAGCATCAGTTGATATTCTAGGGTGGTTTTTTCCTTCTCTAATCTGCAAGTGTATATTTTCAGTATTCTCATTTGCTGGTTTAGGAACTCATTTCAGGGCTCCAAAACATGTGTATATTAAATGAAACAAAGGAGAGGAAATTTCAGGAAAAAAAAACCCAACAATTTAGTTTCTTTTGATTATACATATTGTTTGGAGTGGTGGTCTAGCCATAGAGCTAGTGGCACTATATTTCTTTGTCAACTACATGTTCCAGTTTACTTTGTTGTACCATTTTCTTGTTGCATTTTTTTTGTCCTAAATGTACATAAACCCCTACATCTCTCTTACTGAATGTGCTGAATAGCAGAAAGTTGTGTGTGTCTCTCCGAAAAATATCAAGCTTCTGCAATGAAGGGAGCACCTCTATTGAATTAATGTAAGTAGCAGGTTACTAATGCATGGAGGTATTGGAGAGAAGGTATCAGAGAATGCACTGCTAATACTCCTGATTGATCTGTTAGGAGAAGTCTTTACCTTTTCATAATTATATTTTTGAAAACCTAACGTTGTTTATATATACACACAGATCATGTAGACAAAATACAACATTTAATTTTAAATTTGCTTTACTGATTACACTTTATCTTCCATGTTTTCTGAAAATCTGTTTCTAACAAAGTAGTAAATGATGAATATTGAGTTTGAACCTGTATACTTCAACCAGTCCTCAAAAGTTTAATTTCCTGATAAAAGAAGCAATTATATTTTTCACTGTAGCCTCTTGGGAGGTCAGAATTTCTCAAGTCGTATTTCCATTGGGACTACTCTATCTATCATTAGGTAAATCCCCCAAACTAAGCAAACTTGCTTTTGTTAGCTTTTAATAAATCTCTGTAGAACACCTTCCTTGTACTCTAAATTGCATTTGAGTTTCAAGCAAAATCCACAACATGTCAAAGAGCATTTGAACCATATTTATAGTAGATGGATTCAGATATAGAGGCAATCTAAGTTTTACTCAGTGGAAGACTGCACTAACAGTCCTCCCTTTTTCAGTCATTCAACCATAAAGTTGATAGTGATTGTGATATTTTTATCTTCTACAATATAGTTTTGGTCTTTTCAGAGTTTTACTGCTTTCTCAACAAGGTTAGATGAATTTGCTGAATACTCACATGACAGAAGTTTAGGATGACACAGTGTGGCTTGCAGTTTTTCTTGTCATTTCCAGTAGCTGCTAAGATTCTAAGATCTTACTATATTTTTGTGTATGTTTGTGGTTGGCATTTTTATGAAATTAAATGCAATGTTCTTTTCAGATACAAAAGTAATACACTATCTAGTGTAAATACCTTTTACAAATACAGAGAAATTTTCTTGTGTTTGCATTAATGTTGACTCTTGGGGCTTTTTTAAACTTACAGTATAAGATTTTAGATCTATAACTTCAGATAACTTAAAAGAATATATCCAGAGCAAATGACTGAGTTGTTCCTTCAAACTTCTAATTTTGTTCTACTCTTAGGGAGATATTAGTATAAAAGAAAATTACAGCTTTCAAGTTGAAGTCTTCACTTCTTCCATACATAAATGACGTAATCACTACTTAATTTTTGGCAGTGTTGTGCGTCAAAATCAAATGAAGCAGATACAGAAGACCAAGGACAGGTTTTCAATTATCACCAGGAATACATTTCAGTGACAAGAGGTGTTCAAAGTATTTCACTTTGCAAGATCATCAGTCTCACTGATGTTCAGTTTTTTCCACTTCAATGTGCAAAGTTTCTTTCAGTGTTACCTTTGATCGTGAAGGATCCTAAGGAACTTGTTTAAGATGAGAGTGTTTTTTTTCTTTTTCCATCCTGCTACTTCATTCCCAACACTCCTTATATTCCGCTTAAGAAAAAGTCTCTCTCTACTTTACTTGCTGGATATCTGTCCCTTCCCTAGCTATCTATTTTTTAGTTACACTGAATTAGACAAAACCCTCGGTGGTGTTAAGTTACATCCTTACATATTTGTAGTTGTGATAGATAGCTTTTAATTCCTACATAAGAAAAGTATATAGGCTCTATCTTACAGCTAAAATGGGCAAGCAAGGCTATTTTTCAGAAGTTTTTTCATTTCTAGCAGAACGGTCATCTCATCTATCCACCACTCCATCCACACCTTCTTTGTAGCATAGTACATTTAATTCTGCTAGTTGATCGCTTTCTGTAACTTTCTATAGCTGTCTTGTATTAAGAAGTGTTACCTTTATCATTCATAAGTTGACATTCACTAAAGACCTAATACTCCTAATGTAAAAAGTGCGGTACTTGTAATTTATGTAAATGTTTCAGTTGCAGAGAATTTCTGAAATGAAAAAGCCTAGAAAAATACATTAAACATTTTAAAAAAAAAGAGGCTGATGAGAATTATTTCTGTGGCAAAAAAATATTTTATTATTTCAATGATCTCTCATGCTTGCTACCAATGAAAAATGATGCTTCGAACACCTTCTGTCATGAACCACAGCTTTAAATGTTGAATGTGCTCATTGATGCAAGTTTTCCACACAGACAAATGAGTTACAAATTAATACTAAACCTAATTATGATTTATGTCTTCAGTCTAGTGTTTTGACTTTTAATACACAGCTACTATGTGAAGTCATGACATTAGCAGATGGGAACAGGTAGAGTTGGGAAGATCCTTTTATATCAATTATTGTTAAAAAATTTTCGGTAGAAATATTCAGTATTTTCCAGCAGAAGATCAAGTTGCTTACCAGAAATTCTTAGTTAATAATAAGATGCAGTTCAAGACGTAATTTGGCAAGCTGTAGTTTATCCATACAGTAGATATTTTGTGTACATTGAGTGCATTAAATTTTATGTTTGTTGTCTTGATTCCTACTATTTCTTCTTAAGGTGGTCATCAGGGTGAATACAATATGCCAAGTATGTGAATA